TGTTCTAACCACTGAAAAACTCAGGCCATGGCTGCTCATTTGTTTTTATGTTGAATGCCTTCAGGGAACTGTAGGAGCTTTGTCTTTTGCTGTGCATGAGATGGGAAGGCATTGGGAGTTTTGAGTACAGTAGTAGCAAGATCTAACTTTACAGGATTACCCTAGCTACGGTGTTGAGAATAGATAGAAGGGAGGTGAAGGTGAAAGCAGTGAGGCTATTAAGAGAGTCTTAGCTAGATATAAGATGATGCAGTAAGGTAGTAGAGTGACAGCAGTGAGAAGTGATTGGGTTCTTGCTAAATTCCAAAAATCAACAGGATTGGTTGGTGGGTATGCTTGGGTGTGAAAGATCAGGATCAAGCAAGACTAAGCTGAACAATTGCAAGAATGGAGTTGCAAGGATTAATTGATCAGTCAGTCAGGATCCAGGGGGGATGGTTAGTGAAGAGTTTGGGCAGTCACTTTTCACTTCCCCTGCTCATGCACTTGGGAGATGGTAGCTGATTCTTGGCAGCTATTTTTTTTTATAACAATGGATTATACTGTCATGAAGGGAACAGTAATTAGCAGTCTTTGGAGTTAAATATACAATGTTTGATATTGTAGACACATCATAAAGATGATGCGGAGAGGAGTTGTTGAGACAGGTCATCCAAAATCTCAATTCCAAATGGGAGGTCCTACTTTTCTGATTTGTAACTGCTGGCTTAGTTTAGTAAATTTACTAAAAATTACTCTGCATATGAATCACATGGACGTCTTTTTAAAATGCTGGTTCTGATTAAGTAGGTCTTGGAAGGAGTGGGAGAAATGAGAGTGTTTTTTAATATTAATTTTAGGTGAAGATGCTGCTGCTGGTTTAAGGACCAGACTTTTTAGTGGCAACCTCCTGGTTGAATTTCTGGAATCTATTCAGAATAGCTGTTGACCTTCCTAACAAAGATCCAGGAGGCTCTGTACTCAATGACCTGGGCTTAGAAGAATGGATGGCATTTGATCAGTAGAGAGCAATGTGAAGGCTATGCTAGGACCTAATGGACGGACACATGAAAGTGGGGAGGGAAGGAAGCAAAGGATGGGGAACAAAGGTGGAAACAAGCACCTTCTTCCAAATGCATGGTGCCTATTTCTGTCTCCAGAATTGGGAGTCTAAAAGATTGAATTTAATCAGACTGCAAGTTGGAGCATTTTGATTAGCATGCTGACATTGGATTATTAAGTCAGCTCTACTTGAAATTTTTTAGTGACTATGCATCACATGCAAGACAATTTTAAATAGTATATGGGCCTTTTAGGTGGTCTGTGTCCACCAATATTTTCTTATAATCTTAATAGTTACATTACCTTCTATTGGTGGTAAAAGTTTAGATCTCTGCTTCCTTCACCAGTCTTTGAGCTTTCTGTATATGGCGGTCGTGTCTCATTTGAGTTTCTATCTCTAGGCCCCATTCATCATCATTGCTCAATACATGGAGAAGGGCCTCGGTTATCTTAGCCAGAAATTCTGTAACAAATGTAGCTGAACTACCTTAGGTTCTCAATGTTAGCACCATTTGCACTAGAACATACTTTTAACAAAAATGTAAAGAATGACCTGGGGGAAAATGTTTTGAAAGCCTTCTAGTCACTTCTTGGTGAATAGAGGTTAGTTTTATAGAAAATATTAGTGATATTTTGAGAATATAAATAGGTCTACTAGATTCAGGAAAGCAAATCTAAAGTGTTTAAAGTCTGTGTTTAAAATCTTAGCTTTTAAAAAGGCATCTTTGTTAATTTCTTTATTTTGGAAAAAAAAGGTATTTGCAAACAGTAAAGAACTACTTTTTATTCATTTTGTCACTTCCCCTCAAATAAGAGTAAGAGGATACTAACAAAGGAATTTCCTTCCTTCCTTATTTTTCTAGGCAGTCTATTATATTGGCTTGTGAATTGCCTTTTTAGTGGGAGTGGTAATGATGTTTTATAATAGAACTGAAACTCTGGTTTGCAAGGAAGAGTTGGGACCATTTAGTTTTCTTAGACTGCTCTTTAAAAAACAAACAAAAAAACCCAAAAAAAATGCCTCATTTTTGTGATGATTAAAGTAATATGTATTAATTGTAGAAAGTTTTAGGAAAATAGGGAAATATTTAAAGAAGAAAATAAAAATCACATCTGATTCTGAGATAGCATGTTGACATTCCCCACCCCCCACCCCTCCTCTTCCTGCCTCCTGCTGTATCTCTGTGTCTGGTAATGTCTTTGGTTTTGGAAGCAGGGTAATGTTGGCCAAATAGAATGAATTGTATCTTTCCTCTTCAGTTGTATGGAAGAGTCTGTGTAGGACTGCATTATTTCTTCCTTAAGTATCCTATATAATAAAGAGGTAATATGCAAATTGACCATCACTCCAACACACAAGATGACCACCACAAGATGGCCAGCAGGGGAGGGCAGTTGTGGGCGGGGACCAGGCCAGCAGGGGAGGGCAGTTGGGGGTGACCAGGCCAGCAGGGGAGAGCAGTTAGGGGTGACCAGGCTGGCAGGGGAGGGCAGTTAGGGGCAATTGGGCCGTCAGGGGAGCAGTTATGTGTCGATCAGGCTAGCAGGGGAGTGGTCAGGGGTCATCAGGCTGGCAGGCAGAAGCGGTTAGGGGTAATCAGGCAGGCAGGCAGGTGAGTGGTTGGGAGCAGGCAGTCCTGAATTGTGAGAGGGATATCTGACTGCTCATTTAGGCCCAATCCCACCAGTACATCTCCCCCCCACCCCCCCAACCCCACATGAATTTTGTGCACTGGGCCTCTAATTTTGTATAATTTACCAGGCAAGCCTTCTGGGCCTGGCATTTTTGAGGGGTGTGGAGGGGAGGAAAGGTTATTTGTTCCTTTGCTGAATGAACTTTGATTGTTTGTACAAGGAATTTTTTTGGTTCATCTAAGTTGGTAAATTTATTGCCACAAATTTATTTATACTATTTCTTTGTTATCCTTTTCATGTCTGTAGAATATGAAATGATGTCATCTCTGTCTTTCCTGATGGATAATTTGTGTTTTTCTGTTTTTGGCTAAAAACCAGAGATTATTAATTTTATTAGCTGAAGATTTATCAACCTGGCTGAAGGTTTACCATTTTATTGCTTTCAAAGAAACAGCTTTTTATATTATTGATTTTTCTCTATTGCCTTTTGGTTTTCTATTTGATTGATTTCAACTCTGGTATAAAGTATTTTTTCATGTTTCTTCCTGCCTAATTTGGGTTTCATTTGCTTATGTGGAAGCAGAAATCATTGATTTGAGATGTTCTTTTCTGATTTAGATGTTTTGTGTTACATATTTTCCCCAAATACTACCTTAGCATCTTTTCATACATTTTTATATTGCCATATTCCTTCACTACAGAATACATTCTAATTTCTTTTGGTTCCTTCTTTAATCATGGGGTTGTTTAGATTTATATTACTTAGTTTAAAATTAGTTGTGGATTATTACAGAAATATTTCTGTTGTCAATTTCTGCTTTAATTTCTTTGTGGTCAGTCAGATAACATACTTTTTTGTGAATTGAATTCTCATAAGTTTATGGAGATTTGTTTTTTTTAACCCCCAAATTGATCTATTTCAATAAATTTTCATTGTGAACCTAAGAAGAGAAATGTGTATTCTGCTTTGTGAATTGGAGTATACTAGAAATGTCAATTAACTTCATTTGGTTAATAGTGTTGTTCAACTCTTCTTTATCCATATTGATTTTCTGTCTGCTTGTTCTATCAGTTTTCAAAAAGAGATATTACATCTCTGACTCTAGTTGTGAATTTGTCTATTTCTCCTTGTAGGTTCATCTATTTTGGCTTATGTATTTTGAAGCTTTTTAAAAAAAATTAGGTATAAAATGTTTTGGATTATTGTGTCTTCCTGATGAGCTAAACCCCTTGTAATTGTGAAATGAATATCTCTGTCCTTGAATTATTCTTTGTTCTAAAAGTTCCTTTGTCTGACATTACTGTAACTTCTCCAGCTTTCTTTTGATTAGTGTTAGCATGGTATATCTTATTCTATTCTCCTTTTCAACCTATTTCTATTTTATATTTAAAGCTCATTTCTTATAAGCTTCATATAGTTGAATCTTGCTTTTTTATCCAATCTGACAATTTCTGTCATTTAATTGGGGATGTTTGGGCCATTTATGTTTAATGCACTTATTGATATAGATAGGTTTAAGTCTACAATATTACCATTTGCTTTCTATTTATTACATGTTCTGTATTCTTTTTTTTTTTGCTTTTTTTATTGTTAGAGTATTTTTATGATTTCTTTTTATCTCTTTCCTTGGCTTATTGACTATAACTTTTGATTTTGCTATTTTAGAGGCTGCTTTAGCGTTTATAGTCTGCATATTTACATGGCATGTTGTAGATGACAAGGAAATAGTGAATGAACAAAGGGATGCCCCAGTACCTAGGCCAAAGGGCAGCTGAGAGCCAGGGGCATCAAGATTGGCCCTCAGTCCTGTGCTGTCACAGTTCATTCTTTCCTGCCTTTATTTTCCTTTTTTACACTATGTCATTGTGGATATTAGCTTTAATCTTTCTGTCTTAATGTTAGGGGTCTGTGTCTTCCCCTCTTGCCCCTTTAACATTTTAACAAATGGATACTTCATCCTTAGGTGGCACTTTCTGCAGGTTTTTTTGAAAGTGTATGGATTGGATGCTCAGGATGAAAGAGGCTGTGGCCTTGACTTAACATGACCAAAACAGAAGAGTAACGCTTTTATCGGGAAGAACAGATATTTTTAAAGGTAGTGAATAGAAAAAAAAACAACTTCAAAGAAATGCTCTAAATTTAAGATCAGCTGATCGAAGCAAAACTACACATGGAATGGAAATTCAGACCTAACAGATTTTCCCCATTCTTAACATGCCACCGGTTGTTTTAAGGTTCTTAAGAATATATACATTTAATCACTGTGCTTCCTGACTAAAAAAGAAAAATTTATGCCCTCTTTTTCTTTTTCTTCTTTTCCAGCAAGTAACCGGCAGGAGCTTTGGTGACAAAGATTTTCGGACAGGGTTAGAAAACGGAATCCTTCTCTGCGAGTAAGTATAGTCTGCATCCCGTTGGTTTTTATTCAAGAGAAATGATTAATGCTATTCAGTTAGTAGGTAAAACTTCCAGTGTTCTGTTTGGAATGTAATCAGTTTGAATCTGAAAATAAGAAAAAAAAATCACTGGGCTAAGCAGTAAACATAAGTAGGCGAGGGAGTTGGTGTTCAGTAGGGCGGTGGGCACTGTGGCAATTTCAGATGAGATAAGGGAGGAGTATCTGGTAGCTGCTGCCCAGCTCCAACCCACTTTCACCAGGTGAGAATCTGGGCCCAGGTAATTGGATGGATGTGGACTGAATTGTGATAAAAGTAGAAGCTTTTCTCCTCTTGTCCCCCTCCCCCAAACCCCCAGACAAAAGCAGTGTGTGCCAGGTGCCAGCAGTGCTTCTGTTTACTCACAGCAGCTTCAAACATGCCAGGTGATGTTCCTTGCTGGGCCTGCTCCCTGAGCTGGTTGGAATATGTTTAATTTGCGCTGCTGGCGACATTCAAATATGAACAATGACTGCAGTGTTAATGTCTATATTTTGAGCCTGGGCTTTGTCACAGGGTGCTGCTGTGAGGATGGCATCAGGCACTTCCTCTGAAGTAGTTCTGGACCAAGATAAGCTAGAACCTTAACAGTCATGGTGGGCAGACATACTTCACACCCAGATTTCAAGTTTTGAATTTATTTAATAGGTTCTGTCATTTCGGTACTGGTTTTGTTTTATTGAGGTGAGATGTATAGACATGCAATGCACAGCTCCCAAATTTATTCCGATGAGTTTTGAAAACAGTGTACATGCATGTAACCTACACCTGATCACGATAGAGAAGAGAAAGTTCTCTCATGTCCTTCCTCCTCCATCCCAACCATCTACAGAAAAGCACTGTTCTGATTTCTATCATCATAGCATCTACTTTATCTCATCTTGAGCTTTATGTAAATGGAATCACATGGAATCCACTCTTAATATTAGCAACTTCAGAATATTGTTTGGGGCCCACCCACCATTGTAGCTGAAAGAACATGGATTTCGGAGCCTGAGAACTAGACACTCAGTTCCTTACTTCACCCTTTAAGTGAACTGACCTCCTCTAGTCTCTCCCCTCCCTCCCCGCGCCCCCCCCCCCCCCCC